AGGGGAGCGCGGACCCCGGGGAGCCCGACGGCGGTGGCCAGTGGGTGGCGGGGAGTTGACAAAGCCCGTCGGGCTTCCTGGGTGCGGAGGCCGGAGTCGGGGTCCGGATGCGTGGGTCCGGGGTGAGATCGGGGGTCGCCTGGTGAACCCCCGCTCCCCACCCCGCGGCGCTGGCCTCGCCGACCCCGGGCTTCAGACTTGACCGGTGCCACGGGGACCCGGGGGACCGAGACGCCGCCGTGCGCTCCGCGGGAAGCCCTGGGCGCGTCGGGGTCGGGCGGCGCGCGGACCTGGGCTTGGCGCTGGCTCGTCCGGGTTGTCCCGGGTTGCCCCGGGCTCGGGTCGGGCGCGGGGTGACGGCGGGCGGCAGCCTTGGGGGGGGGCGCCGAGGTAGCCCGCGAGGAAGTTCGTGGGGGGCGGTGCGCGGGATTTCCGTGGCCCCCGCAGCCGGGCGGAGTGGGGAGGACACTTGGGGTTCCCCCAAGCTCGTGGATGGGGGTGGGACTGGGGTGGGGAGGGGTCTCTGACGCCCCCACCCCTCCATCCTCCCTGAGGTCCCGGGCCCCGACTTCCGCGCGGCTGTCGGGTGCGAGATGGGTGAGTGGCTTTTCGTGGCTGAGGGTTTTGGGGCGCCCCGGTTCTAGGTCCTGCCTCCTGCCCTCTTTCTCAGCTTGCTTTGGCTGAGGTGTCCCTGTGGTGGCGAAAGTCAGCCCGTGATGGCTGGTGGCTTTCGCCCTTAGTCCTTGGCGTTTGTGTTCAGGGAAATGGCTCCGAGTTTGGAAAGCAAAAAAAAAATAAAAAATAAAAAATTATTTTTTTGGGGGGGATTCGCTCACGGAGGAAATGGAAGAATCTTTTCTCCCCCCCCCCCCATTTTCCTCCGTTTGCATCCTTTGTGAGGTCTTGTCTGCCTAGTGCTTTTTGTCCCGGATTAGTCTTGTTCAAGGATGGAGATTCCCAGGCATGGAGTCTTGGAGCTTTTGGCCTCCATTAAGCATTCGCTCACCTTTTGAAAGGAAAGTTAATTTTTTGCCCACATTCCAGAAGGGTAGAGTACACTGACCGGATGAATTATGCACTTGAGATTGTAAATTAGTTACATATGGTAGATACGTTAACTTGTATTTTTTTTTTTTTGGTGGGGGAAAAGGGGGCTGGTTAAACTGATGAGCTTTTCTTCTGTAATTATATGCGATTGGAGAACTATATAGGAGGCTTAAAAAATTAGTATGGCATAGCTGATAAAAACCTCTGGACAAAGTTTTGGAAGTGAGATGGTTGAATGGTCTTCCATCTCTGAATCTGTGTAGCCTTCCTCCTCCTGAGGGATATATTGCTCCCTTTACTCACCAGATTGCTTTTCTATGTAAATGAAAATAATTCTGGTTAACAGGTATGTAAGTTGAAGAAATCACTTTAAGTGTCACCTTTGGTAAAGTGAACTCAGGTTAAGATTAAGGAACTGGTTTGAAACTGACCCTTTGGCCTCAGGAACAAACTCAACTATAACTCCTCCATCCTCTCTCTCTTCTTCCAGATTAATTAAAAGAAGAATGAACTAATCTCTGAAGATAACTGGGCAGTTTTTCTTTATCTATTTTTTTTAAAATTATAGAAGTTCAAGGGGAGTCAGAAGTGGTTCTTACTGGCTTGGAGGTTTATACAAGTCTTCAGTTTGTCAGCACAGACCAACAGACCATCATTTTTAGTGGAGATATTTTCCTTCTCCTTTTTTGGTGTCCCTGGTGGCAAAAACTAAAATTGATTACATCATTTTGACTTGTATTTGGGCCTAGGTTTTATGACACAGTAATAGCTTACATTTTCCACATGCTTTGCTTAAAAACAACCACTAAACACAATCATTGTGTTGAACCTGGACATCTTGAATGGAGAAATTGGTAGCTTTATTTTAACACATATATTTGAATAAATCAAGAAAACGAAAGCCTTTTCAGATCTCTGCTTATGATTATGTTCTGTATTACAAGCAAAATGAGGAATTTTATAGCATTTGCAGTGACCTTGTACTAGAGGATAAGCAGAACCAATGCCAAGTTGCAAAATCTATTAGGAAAATTTCTCCTTGGAAATTAAAATTTCCTATGAGTAAGTCACAAGTATTCATTCACATTATTGTTTCTCTATAAGCAACAAAATGCAAATGCAAACCTCAGATTTAATTATTTAACCCAGTTAACCTAGCAATGGAAAATCTACAGACAAATTTCTCCTTGGTTCCGGGCTCAAATAAACTGAACGGGATGGGAGATGATGGCAGCCCTCCAGTGAAAAAAATGATGACAGACATTCATGCAAATGGGAAAGTGGTGAACAAGGTGCCAACTGTAAAGATGGAACACTTGGATGACTATGGCGATGCACTGATGGAAACGGATGGAGAGCATGGCAAGCGAAACCCTGTGACTGAACCTTTACATTTAAATCCCAGTTTGAAACACACCCTGGCACAATTCCATTTAAGTAGTCAGAGCTCTTTGGGTGGACCAGCAGCCTTTTCTGCTCGCTATTCCCAAGAAAGCATGTCACCTACTGTATTTCTGCCTCTGCCAGCCCCTCAGGTTCTTCCTGGCCCACTGCTCATTCCTTCTGACAGCTCCACAGAACTTACCCAGACTGTTTTGGAAGGGGAGTCGATTTCTTGTTTTCAAGTTGGAGGAGAAAAGAGACTCTGTTTGCCCCAAGTCTTAAATTCTGTTCTCCGAGAGTTTTCACTTCAGCAAATAAATACAGTGTGTGATGAGTTATACATCTATTGCTCTAGGTGTACTTCAGATCAGCTTCATATCTTAAAGGTCCTGGGAATACTTCCATTCAATGCCCCTTCCTGTGGGCTGATCACATTAACTGATGCACAAAGACTGTGTAATGCTTTATTGAGGCCACGGACTTTTCCTCAAAATGGTAGCATACTTCCTGCTAAAAACTCATTGGCCCAGTTAAAGGAAACTGGCAGTGCCTTTGAAGTGGAGCATGAGTGCTTGGGCAAATGTCAGGGTCTGTTTGCACCTCAGTTTTATGTTCAGCCTGATGCTCCCTGTATTCAGTGTCTGGAGTGTTGTGGAATGTTTGCACCCCAGACATTTGTGATGCATTCACACAGGTCACCTGATAAAAGAACTTGCCACTGGGGCTTTGAATCAGCCAAATGGCATTGTTACCTTCATGTGAACCCAAAATACTTAGGGACACCTGAGGAGAAGAAACTGAAGATAATCTTAGAAGAAATGAAGGAGAAGTTTAGCCTAAGAAATGGAAAGAGAAGTCAATCTAAGGCAAGTTTTTAAAAGTAGTAATTTGGGGGTAATGGGTAATGCTTTACTTTGAAATTGAAATTTTTTTGTAACTTTAAGAAATGTAATTGCTTATGCAATAAGAATCTTATCAGTGGTATGTTTGTATTGCAATTTTTAAGCTACAAAATATTTTTTGTATGTTTTCTCTCTTGATTTCCCAAATGAGCAGGGAGAAGTAGGCTTACTGTCATTTTCAGATAAAGAGTGAAGCCAGAGACCGTGTGTGTGTGTGTGTGTGTGTGTGTGTGTGTGTGTGTGTGTGTGTGTGTGTGTGTGTGTGTGTGTGTGTGTGGTCTTGATCTCAGGTCTGTGAGCTGTCACTTGGCCTTTCTGCTCAAGGCTGGTGTTGTACTACTTGAGCCACAGTTGCATTTTCAGCTTTTTGGTGGTCACCAGGAGATATAAGTCTCACAACTTTTCTGCCAGGCTGACTTTGAACCTGTGTCATCAGATCTCAGCCTCCTGAGTACCTAGGATTTTAAATGTGGAGCCAGGCAGAGTGACTTTCATGTAGATAAGGAGTGAAGGAATTGGGACTTTGGTTCTCCTTGGCACATCCTGCTTCTTGATGACTAAATATATTGCTTTTCTAGGACTCAAGGTAATTTACACTGTGGTGTTATCTCCCTTTGCAAATGTTGTCATGGTTAGCCAAAACAGTCTGATGGTAGGCTCAGGGCACACCTGTGGTTCTGATGCTTTTGTGCTTGGATGGTCAGCTTTGATCATGTTAAAAAAAAAAAGAACATATTTCTCTGAAGAATTTTCATTCCAGAAGTCAAAAATAATTTTAAAGCTATAATTAAAATTATGATACAGGTTAGAATACATTTTATTTTAAAGTCTAGTGTAAAATCTTATCAGCTACTAAGAGATCTTAATATTCTCATTGAATTATCCTATCTGGTAGGATAAGCTAGTATCTTAATTCTGATTAAGATTTTGGATGCCTAGGAAATAAAGATTTGATCTAGTTAATTTTAAGTATTTCCTACTTGATTTAAAATGGGTATTACATAATAACCTAGTACAATCTGTTTAAAATGTGTCAAGCATTGTTTTTGAGCTGTTTTGTAAATAAAATTTTATTTAAGTCTTACAGGAAAAGATTGACCATGATTTAAGAATGTTAAAATTTCTTCACTATTCTGATCTTTTTAAATAATGCTGTCACTTTCTGTACATGGAAGAAATGAAGTATATCAAATAACTGCAGAACATGCATGGCAAAGTCAGAGTTTAGACTAGAATTTAAGACTAGGTGTTCCATGCCTTATGATTGTGCTCTTAAGGTCTTGAGGGAAATTTAGCGTAGTTTTTAACGCAGTAGTTTTTAAGAGTGAGTAGTTTGCTTCTGAAGCTTAGTAAAGGCAATTCATTGTAAACTAATTTAGCAGAGGGTACCCTTGAAATTTCTTGCCAGTGGCTACTAGATAAGTTTATATTCTTCAGGCAGTTATTAACTGGTTTTTAAGCAGAATTGACTTGAAGCCAGTACCACAGTAGGAAACATGCTTACAGCTGTACTTGTGCAGGACTGATGTTCCTGCCCACACGGCTGCAAATGTGGAATGCCCCTTTTAATACTTCTGTCTTGCCCCCCTCCCAGGCTACCTGGGGGCTTAACCCGTATAAAGGCATAGATAGCTGCATTATTTTCCAGATACTCTCATTCTAATCTTCATTACTCCAAGCATTTTTGGGATAAACTACCTTGCCTGTTCCTGTTCTGTGTTTGGATAAAAAAAAGTAGCTAATAACAAAAAACAAAAAGACAGTGATGAATTCACTTGGGTGTATCTGCTAAAGTTTGGTTAATTAAAATTATTCCTCATTTTGGTTGAACCCATGTATCATTCCATTATATATTAATATAAATACATTTTTTATTTTGGCAAAGTGTTTTTCTCCTCCATTTCTTTTCTGGTGAAGATATGCTGTAGTTTTGTTTTGTTTTGTGGTGGTCGGGGGGCTTGAACTCAGGGCCTGGATATTGTCCCTGATACTTGTTTTGTCACAGAGCCTTCTACCACTTGAGCCATAGTACCACTTACAGCTTTTTCTGCATAGGTTATTGGAAATAGGAGTGTTACGGACTTTCCTGCCTGGGTTGGCTTTGAACCTCAATCCTTAATCCTCAGGCTTACAGGTGTGAGCCACCAGTGCCCAACTATGTTGTGATATTGCTTCTAATTTTATGTGAATTGGAGAAATTAGGAGAATTAAGAATACTTGTAACAATCAGATCTTTTTAAGAAAATAGTTTTTGATTTGTGATTAATGAATACTTGAGTGATTTTCTTTAAAAAAATATCACTGTATGTATAAGCTTACTCCTGAAAACATTGTGAGGTAGTTTTTGAAGATCTGTGAAATTACTTCCTTCTCACAGGTGACCTGGGTGTATGATGGAGAAGAATCAGTTGAATGCAGGTTTTCTGACATGAAATCCAGTCATTTTTCTGAAGCAAGTACAGTAGCAGAAACTATATTTTGAATAATGTTAACTTTTATTATCAACTTACTTTAGTGGTTCTTAAATTCTTCATAACCTGTACATATAAACTAAAGTATTTAATTGGGAATGGGGCAGATTGATAATCCTTGACTGAGGAACATTTTATTTCATTTTTATTTAATTTTATTTCTGTTTGTGAAGTTGGTTGCCATAACTCTGCCCTGGTGGCTCACATCTATAATCCTAACTACTCAAGAGGCTTAGATCTGAGGACCGGAGCTCAAAGGGAGTCTTGGCAGGAAAGTTTGAGACTCATTTCCAATTAGCCAGAAAAACAAAAACTAAACCAAACAAACCCTTAACATCTAGAGCTCAAGCTCTGACTGGCACACACACAAAACTAAACCAGGCCTTTAAAAAACATTTAATAAGACTGTGCTAAATATTACATTAACCTATTATATAAAGGACCTTATGTTTAGTGTGAATACTAATACAGTTTTGTATGCTTATATAGTTTATATAGTCAAAAAGAAACCTGAGGAAGTGGTGCTGTGACTCAAAGTGGTAGAGTGCTAGCCTTACCCAAAAGAGCGTGGGGACAACACCCAATCCCAGAGTTCAAACTCCATGACTGACAAAATGAAAGAAAGAAAGAAAAAAGAAACCTGAAGCCGGGAATTGATGGCTGATGCCTGTAATCCTAGTTACTCAGGAGGCTGAGATCTGAGGATCCCAGTTTGAAGCCAGACTGGGCAGGAAAGTCTATGAGACTCTTATCTCCAATTAATCACAGAACAAGCTGGAAGTGGCTCTTGGGCTCAAGTGGTAGAGCACTAGCCTTGAGCAAAAGAAGCCCAGGGATAGTGTCCAGACCTAGAGTTCAAGCTCCAGGATTGGTAAACAAACAACCAAACAAAAACAAAACCTGAAACTCAGTAGGCACTTGTTTGAAATGTAGCAACTTAAGGGATGGAAATTATATTTATAATATCCACTAGCTTTTTTTACATACCTAATGGCTGTTTTGTTTGCAAAGCTAGGACTTACACGTAGGAGGAATAAGTTGAGTAAGGTTAGTGTTATAAGTGAAAACTTGAATTTATTCTTGTGAAAACCTGAATTCTTTGTAGAAAGAAAAGATGTGTGTATGTGTGTGGGGGGGGTGAGAAAGCTTGTGTACACCTGTGTGTATTTTAATTTTCTATCACATAATATTTCTAATCTTCACCTGGAAACATTATATAGTCAGTATGTGTAGCCTCATTTTACAGAAGAGGAATTGGAGGCACTAGGAGGCTGGGGATCAAATTCAGGTGTTTCCGAGTCTGGATGCCATACTTTTTTTGGTTGTGGTACTTGGGGCTTGAACTCAGGGCTTCTTGCTTTTGTTAGGCAGGTGCTTTAACTTGTGTGGAGTGAGCAACACTCCAGCATTTTGCTCTTGTAACTTTTGAGATACAATCTTGCTTTTTTTTTTTTTCCCTGGTCCTGAGGCTTGAATTCTGGGCTTGCTTACTATCTCTGAACTTCTTTTGCTTGGGGCTAGTTTACTATCCCTTAACCCACAGCTGGACTTCAGCTTTTTTGTTAGTTGTTTGTAGATAAGAGCCTTTCCAGGCTGGCTTTGAATCACAATCCTCAGATCTCAGTCTCCTGAGTAGCTAGGATAACAGGTGTGAGCCACCAGCACCTGGCTTGATCTTGCTTTTTTACCCAGGGAAGGTTGGACCCTTTTCCTCTAGGATGACAAATGTGTAGTGCTGTGCCTAGCTTTTTATTAATGCAGCTGGGGGTCTTGTTGAGTTTTTGCTGAACCTTGTCTGGAACCTCTAGCCCTCTGATATATGGAGTAGCTGATGGCATTACAGGCATTAAGTACAGCACCTGACCCACCTCAGACACTTGACCCAATTCAGTGGAACAAGGGGAGACTTCAGTTGAAAGAGGGTATTTGGCCACGTCTTCCAGGAAGCTTCTCACCCACAGACATAGGGGGTTTGATCCTGAACACTTGTTTATTCTTCATTGATTTGCCCTCCAGCTATGATATTTGGGTATGGGGGCAGGATGCCCATGAGTACTAGGGTTGGATGCTGTCTTATTTAGCTTGGCCTGTCAGAAAAAAGCACTGCAGATCGATCAGGTGGAGGGCTGAAACAACACATACTCCTTTCTCACAGTCCTGGAGGCTGGAAGTCATGATTGAGGTTGGCAGGGCTGTTTTCTGGACCCCTAGAAAGTACCTTTTAAACTCTCTTGTTATTCAAGTCATAAATATACATGATCTTATACTTGCCTAGGTTTTCCTTGCTGACTTTGATCTGAGCTATTTGTGCTTTTTTTTAAACCAGGAAATGATTATTGTATTTAAAATTGTACAAATAAGCAAAACAGTTGCATTCCCAATTATTTTTCACATCTTCAGTGAGTATTCAGCTAAATCAGAACTAGATCAAATATATTTTTGTCTATGGAAAAAAGGTTACAAAGTGAAGCTATCATTTGTACATAACATTTG